CCCCCCCCCCCCCCGATGCAGTAGACCGAACAGCTTAAGTCTTTTTCAACAATGAAACCTAGGTTTTCCTCACTCGAGACATGTAGCCGTTTTTGATTACCCAGGGAATACGGGAACTGATCGTTGTGGGGTAGAGATAGGATTTCGCATTCAGAAACCATTAATTCAAATTAGCTTCCAATATACCATTATTAAACCGCGTTGACTGGTTCCTGGAGTGCTAGCAAGCCCTCAAGTTGGGTTGCTGTATTCCAGATTTGGATATTGTCTGCAAAACGTTTCGTTTTGGGCCTTATAAGATTCAGTAGGGTCTTTTATAAATGTGAAAAAAAGTTGGGGACTAAGAACAGATACTTTTGGAACTTAGTAGGCAACACTGATAGAACCAGAGAATGAACCAAAAATACGAATCGATATGTATGTAATATCAAATGATTGCAGCCCAAGACGCGGATTTTGACGTTCGATGGTTCTTCGAGCTGAAAAACTTCCTTGCAAACAACAATTTTAGCTCGGAGAACTCTCCAATAACACGAACTTATATGACCTGTTGTCGGAGAAACGCTTCAACCCAATTAAGCGTGAAACCTCCAATGTCACAGTTATAAAGCTTATGTAACAGCACCTGTTAGTTGACCCAACTGAACGCGTTTGAAAAGTCCAAATAAATCACACCTGTCATGTCCCTTTCTTTGACTGGCCCGGTCTATACATTTCGGACAACAAGGTATCGCTCTTACCGGAAGCAATGGTGAGCTGGCGAAAGAACATGATGCTTCTCCAAATGTCCCATCAGATATTCTGTCACAATCAACATTGATTAGCACTGGTGTTATATGATAAATTGCGCTGAGTACATCGTGAATTCTTTTTGGGGGTTGTGTATGTGTTTGTTTCGTTGTACAGACTAATTGCAAGTTATAAAGTATTGTAAAGCGTAGACCACAAAAAGACATTTGCTTTTCAGTCACTTTTATATTGACCGTTTGTAAACTGCTAAATTTTCATCTGGTTCGGGAGAGAACCAAAGTCATGAACAGTATAAATCGGAAACCAAGGCAACAGGACGAAGCACAGATCACTCACTTAGAACACGCACGAGCCAGTTCCGTGACCGAGATTTCCTTCATCCATTGCGGTGAGGGTTTTACTTCTTTTTTTGTGTTACTGCCCGCAGTGGCAGCCGAGCCACTGCCAGCGAAAGTGCGTAATAAGGCTGATTTCACCATAGCTGTTGCGCTGGCACCAAGTGACTTTGTCGCTCCCGGTGCCTCGTGTCCCACTGCTTTCGCCACCGGAGTGGATGAGCTTGTGGAATCGGATGTGGAATTGGCGGACGGGGGGTATTCCCAGTTGGTAGCTGCAGTCGATGGTGTGTACAGTGAAAACATGGAGTCCGCAAACTGAGTGTTCCCGTCCACATCGCTGAGTGCTTCCCAGACAACGTTCGGTTCGTTGATCAAACCCATATCCGTGACCAAAACGTATATGCGACCCTGGGAGATCAAGGCACAGAAAACATACACCAAGGTCTAGCGTCACGACTAAAAAAGTAGTAGTAAAAGCAGAAGCCACAACTTCATACAGAATATTAAGAAGATATGTTGGGACAGAAACGGGTAGAAATCGTGGTCGAAATAGTCCAGCAAATAGAAAAAGGTTATCATTGAATGAACAACATTATCATGTAGTAAGTGTATGATTTGAGAATTTCCCTGTCTTTGCTGTACTCTGCTTTGCCACGGCTAGATAGGACAACAGGGCCTCAGGAGTTTTATGGGGCTTCGGTACAAGAGACATGCCCATCGTTACCGGGCTTCGTCTCGCATACGCATCACTAGTCTTTTGGGGCTGCGATCCACGCATGGATTGGTGCACAGTTATCGGTGCCTCCCGAGGGGCACATTCACTAGGAGACGAGAATGGATGCGACCCCGGACTGCGCGCACCTCACTTAGTTTGACACACTTTTTCTGTTATTTGATTACACGTTAGATTTCTTTCAACCACGAAGAAGTAGTCATCTGGGCGTCTCACTTATTATCTGCCTGAAGTGGTTTGTGCTTCGGTTACCCTCAACCCGGTTTCGTCCGCATGTTGAGTGGTTTGCCGTGGTTTAAACGTCTCAGCTTGTTAGATCGACGGATGAGCTGAGTGAGTGAAGGAAATCAGAGAATTGGAGGATATTCGAAGAGACACGAAAGTCTACCAGCTCACGTATGCCACCGTTATCTGATACGCCTTACTATGCTTACCGGCACCCTATTCATAAGCAAATAAAAAGATTTCGACGATCGCAGTATGAATTCATGAGGAAATGCATCGATTCGCTAAGGTTTCAAACCTACAAGATACTCTGATAAAAGAACGAAACCTTTTTCAAAGAGCCGGTGATTAAAAAAAACTAATCTGCTAGGAAGCACGCAACCATCATTATCAAAAAAGGCATTACTGCCGGTGACCAAACAGATTCAAAAAGCAGTTGCCACTCAATGCATCTGACTTCCATTGAGATTTAGATACCCAAACTAAAACCGTCCACAATCCCGATAATAGAGTTGCTGTGGTATCGCAACTCTCAATTCTTCACAC